ATTTATTTCAGTCGATGTATTATTTCAATCATGGCCTCCAATATAATGTCAATATCTTGGAATTCTAGTGGTGTTAGTGGACAACCTTGTTTCTTTTTTTTTCTTTTGCTTAAATGGTATTCATTCTACTGTTCTACTTATAAGTACACAGAGTTTGCATTTGTTTTCTGGGCATGGTTTTATTATGATAAGTAAGTTTCCTTCAAGTGCAAAATTACTCTTAACTAGTGTGGACAATTCTTTCTGCCATTCTACTCGATGCATACATCCTCTGAAAAGAGCATGATGTAGGAAGAGAGGAATCTCTGTATTCAGATCAAGTCAGTTCCTGTTTGCTTCTCATTGTGGGAGACTTTTTTTTTTTTTTGAGGAAGATTAGCCCTGAGCTAATCTTTGATGCCAATCCTCCTCTTTTTGCTGAGGAAGACTGGCCGTGAGCTAACATCTGTGCCCATCTTCCTCTACTTTATATGTGGGATGCCTACCACAACATGGCTTTCCAAGCAGTGCCATGTCTGCACCCAGGATCTGAACTGGCGAATCCTGGGACGCCGAAGTGGAACGTGCACACTTAATCACTGTGCCACCAGGCCGGCCCCTGCAAGACTTTTCTAAGATGACTCTTTATTCTAGTGTTTAATGTATGTCTTTTTTTCTTTTTTTCTTTTTTTTTTTTTTTGAGGAAGATTAGCCCTGAGCTAACATCTGCCGCCAGTCCTCCTCTTTTTGCTGAGGAAGATGCCCTGAGCTAACATCCATGCCCATCTTCCTCTACTTTATATGTGGGATGCGCGCCACAGCATGGCTTGATAAGCTGTGCATAGGTCTGCACCTAGGATCCGAAGCAGCTAACCCTGGACTGCCAAAGCGGAACATGTGAACTTAACAACTGTGCCACTGGGCTGGCCTCTCAATGTATGTATTTTTTAACCAACAGGGCCCCAGAATGCAAAGCTAATATTTAATCTGTTGTAATCTGGCGTACATGCAGAGTAATATAGTATTGACCTGGTTTATAAACACAAAACAACATATTATGTTGTTACGAGCATTTTAAGGGATTTTCAGGGATAATTTCAAATATTAAACAGATTTTCACCTTAGAGACTGAGTTCTGAACTTAATCCTCTTGTAAAATGCAAATTTACTGCACCTTTATAAATGAAACGAGTCTATGATTTTCTATTTTTATGAAATTTGTCAGCATTAGGCATCAGAGTTCAATTAGATTTCTAAAATAAATGGGAAAGCATTTTTTTTTAAATCTATGCTCTTAAATATTTTAAATAACATGGACTAAGTAGCAAGGTTTATCATTGACTATGTTTTCTATTTATTTTATATAATTTGGTTTATTTAAGTTTCTTACATTTTTCAATCAGCTCTAGTAGTTTATGTTACCATATATTTCCTACAGAAATATTTCTAAATTTAACTTAATATAATTTTATTCCCTTACAATTTTTAATCTTATTCTTCTCTGTCATTATATTCCTATTATAATTGATAATGTTTATTTTTTATTTCTCTCTGTTTTTTTCTTATCAGGCTCACTAGGAGTCTATTTTGTTGGTCATTTCAAAATTCCAGTTCTTAGTCTTGTTAACCATACTGTTTTTTTAATGTGGTAAGAATACTTAACATAAGATTTATCATCTTAACAAATTTTAAGTGTTCAATACGTTATTGTTGACTCTAGGTACCGTGTTGGACAGCAAGACTCTAGAGCTTATTCATCTTACTTAACTGAAACTTTATACCTATCAATTAATTGCTCTTTGTTTCCTACTCCCCCCAGCTCCTGGTAACCACCATTTCAGTCTTTGATTTCATCCGCTGGACTATTTTAGATGTTTCATATAAGTAGAATCATGCAGTCTTTATCTTTCTGTGTCTGGCTTATTTCACTTAGCATAATGTCTGCAAGATTCATCCACACCATCACATATTGAAGAATTTTCTTCTTTTTTTAAAAGCTGAATAGTATTCCATTGAATATATATATACCCATTTTCTTAATCCATTCATTTATCCACAGACATTTAGGTTGTTTTCATATCTTAGCTATTATGAGTAGTGCTGCAATGAACACAGAGTGCTAATATCTTGCTGAGATCCTGATTTCAGTTTTTTGTACATATACCCAGAAGTGCAGTTGCTGGATCATTATTTTTTATTTATTTATTTATTTTTAAAGATTGGCATCTGAGCTAACAACTGTTGCCAACCTTTTTTTTTTTTTTTCTGCTTTATCTCCCCAAATTCCCCCGGTACATAGTTGTATATCTTAGTTGCAGGTCCTTCTAGTTGTGGCATGTGGGACACCGCCTCAACGTGGCCTGATGAGCATTGCCATGTCCTCGCCCAGGATCCGAACCAGCGGAACCCTGGGCCACCACAGCGGCCACAGGACCAGCCTCCATTATTTTTAAATTTTTAAGAAACCTACTGTTTTCCATAGTGGCTGCACCATTTTACATTTCTGTCAACAGTGTACAATGATTCCAGTTTATCCACATCCTCGTCAACACTTGTCCTTTGTTTTTTTTTAATAATAGCCGTCCTGACAGGTGTAAGGTGATTTCTCATTGTGGTTTTGATTTGCATTTCCCCAATGATTAGTGACAATGAGCATTTTTTCGTATGCCTGTTGGCCATTTGTATATCTTCTTGGGAGAAATGTCTGTTGAAGTCTTTAGCCCATTTCTAATTGAGTTATTAGGTTTTTGGTTATTGAGTTGTAGGAGTTTCTTATATATTTAGGAAATTAACCCCTTATCGGATACATGATTTGAAATATTTTCTCTCAATCAGTAGGTAACTTTTCATTCTGTTGATTGTTTCCTTTGCTGTGCAGAAGTTTTTGTTTGATGTAATCAAAGCCCCAAAGACATTTTGTGCAGAATTAGAGAAAACAATTCTATAATTCATATGGAACCACAAAAGACCACAAAAGGCCCAATTGATCCTCAGAAATAACAAAGTTGGAGGCATCATACTGCCTGATTTAAAAGTATATTATCGGGGCTGGCCCCGTGGCCGAGTGGTTAAGTTCACACGTTCTGCTGCAGGCGGCCCAGTGTTTCGTTGGTTTGAATCCTGGGCGCAGACATGGCACTGCTCATCAAACCACGCTGAGTCAGTGTCCCACATGCCACAACTAGAAGGACCCACAATGAAGAATATACAACTATGTACCGGGGGGCTTTGCGGAGAAAAATGGAAAAAAATATATACATATTATCAAGCTACAGTAATCAAAACAGTATGGTACTGGCATAAAGACAAACATAAACCAATGGAACAGAATGGAGAACCTAGAAATAAATCCACACATATATGGTCACTTGATCTTTGACAAGGGTGCCAAAAATACACAAGGAGGGAAGGATAGGCTCTTCAACAAATGGTGTTGGGAAAACTGCATATCCACATGTAGAAGGATGAAATCAGACACTTGTTTTACACAATACACAAAAATCAGGTCAGAATAGATTAAATGCTTACTCATAAAATCTGAAACTGTAAAACTCCTAGAAGAATACATAGGGGAAAGCTTCATGACATTCATCTTGGTAATGACTTCATGCAGATGACATCAAAATGACAGGCAAAAGGGGACTGGCCTGCTGGAACAGCAGTTAAGTTCACAAGTTCCACTTCAATGGCCTGAGGTTCGCCATTTAGGATCCTGGGTGTGGACCTACATGTGCATGTCTTGTCAAGCAATGATGTGGCAGGCATCCCACATATAAACTAGAGGAAGATGGGCATGGATGTTAGCTCAGGGCCAGTCTTCCTCAGCAAAAAAGAAGAGGATTGGCAGCAGATGTTAGTTTAGGGCTAATCTTCTTGAGAAAAAAAAATGACAGGCAACAAAAATGAAAATAAAGTGGGACTACACACTAATATTTAAGAAATTTTACATTTAAAATCCAGTTTAATGTCATCCACCTAAATTCATTTGATATATTTTATTGCTTTTTATCTACCTTCTTAAGTTAAATGCATAATTCATTTATTTTCTATACCTTCCCTCTCTAATTAAGAGGGACATTTTTTAGTGCATAGAGCTTTGTCTGAATCCTATAGGTATTCCTTGTAAAGTTTTCATTAGTATTAGTTTAAAACAGAGTGTATTTTTTAAAATTTGGTTTCCTTTTTAGGAAAAATATTTAGAGGATTTTTCTTTTAATTCCTGTTTTATATTAATTTTTTAAATATGTTTTATTGCATTGAATTTAGGGAATGTTGACTTGATTGTTACTATTTGGAAATTTTAATGAGTTTTTTTAGTGACAAAAGACATAACTGATTTTATAAATAATATTTGTAATTTCAAAACGAATATATATTCATGGTACAGCATAAGATTCTAGGGAGGCTGAGGGTGATGTGCAAATCTCTTGCCTCAGTTCTTTGTCTCCTCAGCCTGTTGAATTCGGAGGCAAGTAAGTTCCTGTCTCCTAATGTGAATTCTTTGGGGAGGGAGGGAGGCTGACAATCTTTCTTTCTAATACTCTTGCTTTATATATTTTGCTGCTACATTAAAGGAACAGGTGTTTATAACTGTTCATAATGTTATAATTTTTCCCATTATAAAAGATTAACATTTGTCTCATTAATGCAAAATAAGACTTTTTTCTTGATTACTGTGTCATCTAATGTAAACTTGCCATCTTACAATATTTTTGGTTGCTTGTATCAGTTATATTTTTGCCTATATATTTATTTATTTGCCCATTCTTAGTTTTTTTTAGTATAAGCTACATATACCTGGATTTGCTTTCCTTTTTTCCTTTAAAAACATATAAAGCTTTTTAACCTTAATTTACGTGTATTGTAATAATCTTTTATTTGTCTTATTTATCCTAGTTGAATTTGCATTCCATGTTTACTAGTTTTCTTATGTGTTCTTTTCTTGACTTTTTAAATTTTGCTAAAATAAGAGTTTTATTCATTCTATTTTTCTCTTTCACGATTTGAATATTTTTGTGTAAAATTTGCATTTTCCTAGTGGTGTCCTTAATTTTTAGAAAATATATTTATAGCTATAGATTTTGGAAAATGTGATGCTTTTCTGTTCTCTCATCCTTTGTGTATAATTTGTTTTTCTACTCCTAAATTTTTTTAAGATCAATTCTATGTCGTAAGTGTCCTGACATGTTACTATATAATACTATGGTGGGATTTTTGCATATGTCATTGTCACCTTGTAATTTCTGATAAAGTTAGTTATTTTGCTTATTCTCACTTTTTTAATTTTCCCAGGATCTCAAAAATTCATATATGAATGTTGAAACTTTCTCTTATTATCCCACTGTAGCTGTGAAAGAACAATTTCAGTCTGAGCTTTTATGTGCAAGAAGTTCTAGACTAAGTGTCTCTAGGGGAAAAAGAGGAGAGTTGTGAAGATGAATACCTGACTCTTGCCCTGAAAACCTGTCAGTTTATTTTGGGAAATAGACACATAACTGACCTATCTGGATCCAAATATATCAGTGATGAATAGAAATGAACTGAATTTCCAGTCAGGGAAGAAAATAAGGGCAGAAGGGAGAGCATGAGCAAAAGAATAAGGGAAAATGTGAAAGTGACTGGCATGTTCACACACCGAACAATGATGGAAGAAATCTAAAGCCAAAAGGCTGGGACTGAGGGGCAAGGGATACACCTAGAAATGATAAGGGATGTGTGCATGGGAGGACTGGGAGTATGGACTTTATTCTGCATGCAGTTAGAATAACTGAAAGATTTTGTTCAAGGGAATGATATGAAAAAGCTTAAGAATGATAACTCAGGTAGTGAATGGAAGATGATTTAGAGAGAGCTGGGAGTCTGTGAACAAGGGTAGTGGAAGGAAAGAAGGAAGCAAGGAATTTATTTAAAGACATTTTTAACACCCATATATCAAAACTAGTAAGCAAATTGGATGTGGGTATTATTGGAGATGGGGTGGTCAGAGTTGTCTCTTAGATATCAAGTATGAATGATTGATGGATGCTGAAGTCATTAACTGAGCTTTAGACAAGGTGGAAAAGCAGATTTTATTGTATATAAAATTTGTTTTGGGAAGCAGTAGAATTTAGCAATCAGATAGACTTGCATTCAAATCACTGTACTTGCTCTCAATGGTTTTTTGACATTGTGCACGTTACTTAATCACTCTGATTCTTAGTTTCTTTCATGGTAAAACACATAGAGTAATTCCTCTCAAATGGTTATTATGGAAATTGAAACAGATAATGTATGTGAAATATATTAATATTTCTATCATGTTATTATTTATTACTATTTTTGTACATAATATTCTTGAGATTTATATTATAGAAGTATATAGATGTTCAGAGTTTGGAAGGTGAATAAAAATAAGCCTTGCACTCTGGAGAAAGTTTAATACTGGAAAAAAAATTTTCTATAGTTGATATCATGGAAGGGACTGTACAAAGACCATAACAGGAACAAAGATGTCTTTCATCAGTCACAAGAGAGCAGATGAAAAACTAATGCTAAACGAGCCAGATAAATAATAGTGAATGATAAAAAGGAAGATCAAAATAGTAGTGTCAATTAAGCTAAAAGAGGAGATAATGTCCAGGAAGGCAGATATCACAAAGAAATCAAGGCAAGTGAAAAATTAAAAGTCTATTTGACAGTCCAGAGGTCAATTTCAGGTAGTTTCAGTGAAGTGGTTGAGGGAAAAAAATTCAGTGCAGTGGATTCAAGACTCACTGGGAGGTATAAGAGTAAAAAAATGAGTGTAGATTATTCTTAAGAGCGTGTGTCCAAAGAGGAGAAAGACGTGGAAGCTGAAATACATTGATCATTGTCTCTGTTTTCTGCGTGGAAAGGATTGAACATGTTTGAAGACCAAGGTGAGAGTATCAGACAAGAGGTAGGTTAGGGATTCAAGGAAAGTAGTGAAAGTACAGTAAAACCACTGAGGAGAATGGGAAAGGAAGTCAAAAGAAGGTGTTGACTTACTTCATTCATATAAATGATCATGCAGTTATATGCTCAAGCTGAAAAATAAAAAGTTCTGTATCCAAATAAAAATTTGAGTAAAATCTCAACACACAGCTCTGCATCGTGTATTTCCTCCAGTTCCTACTGGTGTGTCCTGTTATAAGATGTATACATCATTTCTGGGGCCCTCACAAGTATTACAAAAATCATAGGATACTCTTCGATTTTCAGATTTTGTTTTAACTTATTCTCTGTTGGCATTTCTTATGCCTCATCCATCCTATATCTGACTATCTGTGTTTCCAAAACATGCATATTTCACAAAGGAATATATTTCCATTTTCTGCTACAGGCACATATTCTGCAGAATCTATTACGTTACAAATGCAACCTTTGGGAAAAAATGAGAAGTCAGTAACTCCTGTAGGTCGTAGAAAGAGGTTAGAAAACAGTAGATGTAATACACAATTATCATCTGTTTTCTAGCACTCCTTAATGACAAGGTGGGCTAAATAGCAATTACTATCCTTGAGAAAGTTGGGCTTGTCAAATGCAGCATCTAAGAAAGAAAAAAATATAAATAAAATCAGTGGGGGTTTTTTTTTGGTTTGTTTATTCAATGGCCAAATAGTTACCATATAGGATTAATTTTATTTGTGTAGTTCTGTTACCAAATAGAGTAAAAATCCCAGTGAAAGAACATAAATATTTATTAGGCAAAAGGATGTTTGTGGAATCTTCTCCTTCACTTAATTCTAGATAAGCAAAATTATTTTACCGTGTTGTATTAGGAGAGATCTAAACTGGGCATTTTTATTATGATTTTGTCCCTGCTAGTTCCTACATTTCTTAAAGCTATCAGCAGAGCTAATTTAGAATTTATAAAACTGCATTTACCAATATTGAGCTATAATGATGTAAAAAGTTTCAATTCAGTAGTCATGTCATATTTGGTCAATAGCCAGCAATTGCCATTAGTGATAAGTGAAGCACCTATAAGAAGTACCAACTCTGTGAGAGAAACAGATCAAAGGGAAGTGAAGTGATCTGTAATGAGCAGAGAAAAATCAATAAGGAAAAAAAAGAGCCTATCTCTTAAAATGAATGAAAAAGAGACTGGCTGATATTTGAACTACATTTGTTCCATGTAAGTAGTCACTGTGAGTGGTAAAGCTTAGTGCAAAAACCTTCTTTCTTGCTTTAATTCTCCAATTGCAAGTCTATTCTAAAACTGTATACAGTGATTGTATCTAATAATACATTGAACAATATGTGTCTTCTTTAAAAATCATGTTTAAAGAGGCAAACTTAAAGCAAGGTCTACGCTATACAGAATCCTCTCTATGCAATAGTAACTCACACACCTGATTGGCATTCTAGACTACATCACTTCTACTAGCCTAATTAAGATTGAATAAAGAACAGCATGTGAATTCTCAGTCTGCTATGTAGGTTGGCCTTGGGGCTAACTTAATTCAATGTTCTGTCTTGAATCATGTAGAAAACTTCTCAGGAAAACATCAAAGAAGAATTCATAAGTCCTTGAAGACTAAACTATATCATGGATCCCAGCAGGATAAATGGGAACTTTGACAAGAATGGAGAATGTGGGACCTCAAAGGTGTAGGTACAATTGCTCTGCTACTCTGTTAAGCTCCTCCCATTAAGAAAACTGCCTCAGCTTTTCATTAACAATAGGCTTTTCTAGGAAATCCATTGCTTTAACTGGAGAATGCACTAAAGCAGGGAAATTCAGGATTTTAGCGGGGACATTCAGTACATCACTTCACTGCTCAAATACACTATTGCTTTATGTCTCTCCAGGATGAGACAAAATCAGGAGGATATCTAGCACTTCTAAACTTGAAGGGCAAGGGTCATCATTTCTGATCATGGAGGTTTTGGGGAGGGTAAGGAAACAGTGGCATTTTATCTCACCCTACTACCCAAATGTCTTTATTAATTCAAATATTTGGATTCCAAGTCAAGGGCTCTGTGGTAACCAGCCTTCAATATGTCCCCTAATGCTTCCTGGTATCCGCACCCTTGTGAATTGTACTAGGGTTGGCCTATTTGACAAATCAAATATGGCGGAAGGGATGGTATATCTCTTCTGAGTTTAAGTTAAGAGATTATAGCTTCCGACTTGGTTGTGTTCTCTCTCTCTCTCTCTGATCACTCCATCTGGGGGAAGCCCTATGGAGAGGCCCACATGGTGAGGAACGGAAACCTCTAATAGGCCTGTGAAGGAGCTTGGAAACAGATTTTCTAGCCTCAGTCAAGCCATAGAGATGCAGACCAGCCAACAGCTTGACTGCAACCTCATAAGACACCCTGAGCCAAAAACAAAGGACTGAGCTACTTCTAGATTCCTGACTCTCAGAAACTGTGTGATGTAATAAAAGTTTCTTGTCTTAAGTAACCAAATTTTGCAGTAATTTTTCATGTATTAAAAGATGATTAATATGGGCCGTTTCCATCTACACTGGGACACAACTTTTTCATTTTTGAAATGATTTTTTTAAGACGAGTCATGTCAAAGATTCTTTTACTTTATGATTGTCACTGATAGAGTGGAACCATGCCTTTTTAGAAACCATGAGCCTTTGCGTCTGGGAAATTTAAAAGAAAAAAGATTCTCTTCTGGTTTTCAGGATTTTAGTGATTTTATTTAGCTCATGGTGTCTAGGACACATGATAGGCACTAAGGTTACAGACAATCTTTATAAAACCTGTAAAGGTTTATGTTCTGCAATTATGCATATTTATTGTCCTCCTTTCTCCAAGTTACCCTGGCTTCTTGCACTAGTCTATATGTATAAGTTGAAGATAATAATAGTACTGGGTTATTGGAGTGATAAAATGAGTAAATATATGTAAAGTACTTCAAACAGTGCCTGGAATTTTGAAATTATTATATACATGCCCCTTCCTGTATTGTCTCCTTCTCATCATTCTGCCTGTTATAAGGAAAGGAAACATTGGTTGATTTAAGGACTACAGTGTCAATTAACCCAAGAAAGTAATAGAGAAGAAACATTAGCAAACTAGGTTTGAATGCAGATTCTGCCATGTAAGCAAGGAGTCCAGAGTATACCTCCAATACAGATGTTGATTTAATATATATCCTTTCTTTAAAAAATAGATTTTTCTTATTGTAGAAAACACTTTACCATTATAATTTAATCAGAAAGTATTAGGGAAATAAGGTTGTAAAGGAACTAAAGGGTCATACCATTTTAATTATTTGAGCAGTCATACGAACCAAGAGGGACAGGGGGAGAGGGATTTTCCCCTCCCCACAACTAAAATGCGCTGCACGTATTTTCTAGACTAATATTCTTACTGCCATCATTTTTAATACAGATGTTTACAGCTTTCACTATCTATGCATTCACTGATGGTATGATTTCCCAATAGCCATGTGGAGATTCTGGGGCCTCCTTTCAGGAATTCTTCTATGTCCTACTTCAGTGCAGCGGAACAAAGACCTTCTATTAAATTAGGGTTTTTTCGTGTATGTCATTTTTATTCTTGATGTCTCATAAAGGGCTGATTTTTCTCTTCCCTGCTTAACCTATTAACTCCTGTCTGGTTTTGGTTTAAGCAACAGCACAGAGTACATGCACAAGGGGCTCATCAGAGACAACTACCTCAAACTCAGTGCTGTTCAGTGTCTCAAAATCTTTGTGGAAATAAGTAGTATTTACAAAGGATTTCTTGCAAATTAAGCAGTCCATTTTTCTTGCTCAGAGATTCTTACATTACCTTGGGTAAAGGAAGATCTAAGAGCACATTAAAAGGACATATAACTTTTATGCATATAAATTTTAATGGGCAGTCTATTATTTTTGTCACGTATTCAAAGTGGTCTGTAACTAAGAAATGATTAAGAATCATTTCACCTGAAATTTTCAAATCTATAGTTGGATTAATGCATAAGGGCGGAAGGCTGTGTGCCATGTACCTGGACTTCAGTACTCCAAAACTGAAACATGTATATATACATACACACACACGTATATGTTAAAAACAACAATAACAGAAGCAAAACATATCACTTTGATTAATGAAGATATTTATCTTTGGTATCTGTATGAGCAATAAATGTGCTTCTTTGAGAAACTGTCCTATCATTGTATATTGGAAGCGATGGCTCGAGTAACTGGTTGTGTTTCCTCTGGCTTTACTGTTATAGACAGTGCACTGCCAAATTAGAGGCTCCATGTTAGCTGTTGTACCCCAGGACATGCATTTTGTGTAGCTTTTGAATCTATTGTTTCTACCCTCATTGGCCTTTACTACAAATTCTTTGTTTCTTTTTGATACCCATTTTGTTGTACTATGTATTTTTATAAGTTGCCCTAAATCATTTCCAAAAGTACTGACTGTACAAATATAAATGAGTAAATAAATAATAATAGTGGCCGAGGAAGCCCATAAAGCTTTTTGCTTGTTTGTTTTATACATTTTTTTCACAAGGTCCACAGTTTTAAAGTGCTTTCAGAAATTGTTTCTTTAATAACATACTTTTGTAGTTTTTGTTGTAAATATTTATTACCAAAGTTTAAAAGCTACTAATGTATCCCTAATAAAGTGGTAAGAGAAAAGGAGCCAACATTGAAAAATGAATTCAAAGTATTTTAACCTGAATAGGGAAGATTTTTCCTCCCCCTTAGGTTTAAAAACATATTTTAGGCATCACTGCTTTTGGTAGATGTGCTATTTTGCAGTTGCTTGTTCAGAAAATCTAACAAAATTGAATATACTACTCAGAATGTGTCTATCTTGTCTTCTACTTATAAACACAATTATGAAATTCTGCCTTGGGATGTATTTTAGTGCACACCAGTGTATTTTGCGTACATGTTTGAGTGTATAACTAAGCTTTGTCTTTTAGTAAAATTGCAGTCATTTATATACTCTCTATTTTGATTTCTTTTAGTCTTAAACTTGCATTTGTAAAAAGTTAACAATAGATACTGCTTCTTTCTTGCTGTTTGGTACAAACAGCTTGCTGACTACTATCTTATTGTATTGTGATAGGATGTACCGAAGAATGGAAAAAGGGTAAAAAAGAAAATTGATTTTTCTTTTCATAGCCTAAGTAGGACTCCCAGTCTACAATCCCATCTATAGAATAATCATTTGAATGTATGTTTAGTGGGAAAGTCAAAAGCCCAAGCCTTGGGCATAGCGTGTCTAATAAGCAAGCCCTAGAGATCTGCTATAAACTGTTTCTCCCCAGACAGTATTAATTGTGCTGTAATGAAGCATTGAGGGTTAGCCTAGGGAAAAGAATGAGAATTCTATTCACATTACACAAAACTCTAGCAGTGACAGATTAGGTAAAATTTAAAAAGCACCGTTATATATATTTTTCTAACCTCAACAGAAGCTACTACAACTCTCCTCTTTGTGTAGCCTGTATGCCCAAGAATATGTTATGTCCTCAAACTGAAGAGCTTCGTTCATCACACATCTCATCCCAGCCTAGGCCTAGGCTTAGTTCTGTGCATGGTGCATGGTGCATGGTAAGTACTCAGTAAATACTTGTAGAATAATTGATAACACTCTAAGGAGAAAGAAAAGCCCTGCACGGTGGACCTGTGACTCAGATACAGCTGTCAGGGAAGAAAAATGAAGTGTGCTGGTTGCCAAAAACCAAGTTTGCTGAAATAAAAGGAAGTGGCAGTCTGGTAGCTCCTAGTCAGAGAGCTGATATGCACTGCTCCTGTTCACATTATGGGTGATTTAGTGCTAGGCCGGAAGATGTGGTCATTGCTCTACTCAGCTTCTGCTAGAAGAATCAGAGCCAGGCTGAGCCTTAGACAAGGAAAAGATAATGTGAGCATCACTTCCTTCACGAGTTTGCAGTGAATCACTAAACTATAAAGACTTTACTCTTAATACACAAAGAGAAAAACCCATGATAGGTTTTTAAGGACTGTTAACATAGCCTGATGGGCAAACTTTCCAAGTAGTCAGAAGTAGGCAGGGAAAAGTGGAACTAAGACACTTCAGAGTGAAGATTAATGGACTTGAGAGTGAATATTGAAGGGGTAGCTACTTGGAGCTATTTTCTTTCCACTTTTGGAGAAACTCAGTGTCACTGTGTAAAAAAGTGTCTAAAATAAAATAAGAACTATAGACATATGCATTTAGGGATATGGAATCAACTCAGAGAAAGTAAAGGCATGCTTCTAGGTTCTTCTACTATCTTCCTTTGAAGAGTGCTTGGGCATTAATCACTTTAATTAATTTCTTCATGTCTCTCCATTACTACTTTATCCATCAGGATTTGGCCTGAGAAGTAGAATCACTATGAGTGATATAGATTAAAGATTTATTATAGAGACCTTTCACCTCACACAATTGTGGGAACTGGAGCAAAAATTTATGCAAAGCTGTTGCCTGTCCATCTTGTGCTAGGCCTCAAGTCTCAAAAGGTCATCTAAGCCAGCAGTCTGGAAAGAAAGCTGGATGTATATAATACATAGAAACAGAGAAATTGTTTCTCTGAGAACAGAAAAAAATTGAAACCAATGAGGAGAGACTGCAATCCATGCGGCAAAATGGAGACCCACATCTGTCTTTTCCTGCTACCAAATCTATGGGTAGGAGAAGCTGGTGCCTTTTGTTGTAGAGCTGAATACAAAACTTCAAGTTCATGGTTAGCCTCAAGTTCTTCAATAATATCATTTTATCAGATTTCTGTGACCCTCCCCAAACACATACATGTCCACTCTCTACAGAGCACCAAAAAATTCTCCAAAAGACAAAAATAAGGGCTACCAAATATCATCCGGAATTGAACCACAGTTATCTTCAAGACAAAGAACACTTTCTGAGGGTGCTTTTAGACTAGAAGAGGTTTTCCAAGAGGATGATTCTGAATACAATGAAATGGAATCTTTTCCTACCTTTTTCAGGATCTGTGTGCAGTAGTGGTAACTTTAAAAGAAGATTCATTGGTCACCTGAAAAAGATGACTCTTTCCATCCCTGTTCCTTCAGAATTAGTGTTGTATTTTGTAGCTGTCTCTACAAAGGCCATGTCTATCAGATTAATCCCTGATCACATGAAGACTGTCCATTGGTAGTCATCCAGATGACCTGTGTTGTAGTACTGTGCCATTCAGGAATTTAGTGCCAGCTAAATGCACTGGCTGAGCAATGAAGCTTCGATGTGCACAGTAGTAATGCTATTTTTATTCTTCCTGTAGGGAGGAATGTTGGAGACTGGCTTTTTAAAAATAACCAGTTTAGAATGAAGCAGCCATATGGCTGATTATAATGATGGTTTTCATTTTAGTTCAGTTTTGGTAAAGTTAGAATCTGATACTATAAGTACTCTGTCATATAACAGCAGAAGAAAACCTAGGCATTTCAGTCTTAGCATTCATGCTTGTACATAAACCTTGCAATTCTAAAGATAATGTGGAGGACCAAGCATTTTTATTAAAATTTTCATATTTACATAATGCCTTACTGTAATGTTTACTCTAAAATAATTGGGGGACTAGTGGGAAATTGAGGAAAAGAAATGAACATACAAGAATTACTCCTTAAGAAAGGAATTTATAAGACACAGTTTACCTAATGCAGGTGAAATTGGAATCAAGCAATCTATAAAGCTACATGTTCACATTTTTAGATTTGGTTCACATTAATAAGGACATTAAAAAAGAGATTATTTGGTCACATAAAAGAGATGATTCTCCATATGCTTTTTGCCTAAGAACCAATGTTGTCTTTTGTAGTAATGTATTGTCTTTTCTTTGGCTGTGTCTTATCATAAAGTAAAAGATGTAGAAATTAGAAAAGAAAGGGAAAATCAAAGAAATATGAGATCTATGTGTATTGCTGCAGTGATTTTTGAATTTGTCCAAATGTTTTCCTGTGAAGTTTGCAAAAAATGCTTTTCTCAAACATGGATGCCAGAACAAGTGCATTAACTTGCTACGGTAAGTTTTAGATGGAAAAAGTTGATAATATTAATTTTAAAGTTTGTATTACAAAGTTGCCTTTTGAAAGACATCACATTATGTCCAGATCTGGAAATATAAATGCTATGTTATTTTTGTGAGTATCACAGTATCACAATATTATGTCTGTTAGGTCTGTCACGTAATATCAGGTGTCAGCGTTGAATTACTCACTACATAACTTAATTCTTAGATACTGAATATCATTTAATTTTTTTAGACTAGTATATTTGTGTAAAACAAATGTACTAATTTAAAACAAAATTGTGGGGGAATTAAGAAAGATTTAAAGAGATGCCAATTACGTTTAGAATTTGTCTCACTAAAACCTATTTGGTAACTTGGTACTCTAAATATAAAGTTTGCCAATAATGTTTGACATTGGAAGTTTACTTGAGGAGCCTATAGAGAATGATAAACTTGACCTGCCTTGGGAAGCCCTAGTCTATCAGACAATCAGTCACCCAGTTTGTCTGTAAGTCAGTTAATCAGGCAGGCAGTCAGTCACCCAATTAATTTACATTTACCTGTTACAAGGTGGAACATTTTGGAACCTAAAAGATAGTGCAAACTTTCTCAGCACCACAGCCACGTGATTATATCCTCCATCTAGGCTGATATATTGGGGGAGAGGAGGCATAAAGAATCACTTGATAGCTGAGAAGTTTTAATCTCAGGGTAAAATACTGATCTTTAATTTGCTTGATTCAAATAAGTATATTTAAGAACTGCTCTTATCATTGTATCCATGCCATTTTGGGGACCATATGATAAGCAACACAGTAGGCTATGGTGTACACAACACTAGGTCCAAATCTTGGTTCAGCTGCCAATTCATTTTAAGATGTTTATCAAATCTAGCTTTTGGTTCATGGCCTGTTTAATTAGAGAGTTGGCCTAAATAACTCCTATGCCTTATAATTCTAGAATTCCATAATCATTTTCTTCATCTGTGTCAATATATGATATAGTGATTCTCAACAATTTCTCACAGCTTTCTGGTGTATTGTGAGTCTTTTCAGTGTACTACCTCAAGCTGATCATTGTGCAACATTTCATATGGTTACAATCACGTTTACAAGCTGTTTTAGTGATGTCCCTCAAATAGATCATTAAGTTGAGTGGACCATGGTACAGTATGGGACACAACTTACCACAAATAAAAAGTAAAAAGCATAGGATAATATTAATCCAGTGCTAAAGAAAAGTAACTTCCTTAAGAAGGTATTAGGCCAGTCACATTAAGATAGGAACCAATTACTGAGCCAGCATCACAAGGTTAAGTGTAAAAATATGCATGGTGGAATAACCGTGAATGGTTTTCTAGATACCATGAGAACTTGTTATACTTCAGTAGTGATTGCATTATAATTATAATTGCCTTTTAAAAAAAGTGTTGTGTTGGGTCTTTTAAATTTTTCCAGTTTGCTACCAAATAATTCTGGCCTTCATAGGGGTTTTACAAATACAAGAAGTTTAAGATTTGCTGTATGTTAGATAATCAAGCCGATCCACAGTGAATTCAACTTGAATTACATGGAGCCCTCTGAATGAAATCTTAAAATAAAAGCAGCGTATCTGGAGACAGACCGCTTTAAGTGCACTGTGACTTAGTGCAGCATGTTTTGCTGAGTGTACTATAAACAAGAAAATTTGGAAAAAGCAAAGCCTGCACCTCGTGTTCTGTTATGGTAGTTTACTTTGAGGAATGTGCACTCCAAGTTGATATGCTGAGTAAATATTCCGCTTGCACTCGTATTCAGACTTTGAGGGTGTTTCTTTGATAAGTAAATATTGCTCCAGTTTATGAAATTCTTAAAATAAAAATTATTAATCAGATGGGTTTTTTTAACCATGAGATTAATAATAAGTATGAAGAAATAACTTGGTTCAGAAATGGAAAAATGAAAAACATGGATCAAATTGTACAGCACTTCTTTGACAGTTTGACATGAGGCCAGAAGCAAGAGTTTACACTAAATGTTGTTTTTAAAATGCAACCTTTAGTGTTATTTGATTTTTTCCCCAAGCAAACTAAGATGTGAAATTTAATAATCCCATCTGACAATTTTATAAAAATGGGCTGCCATGCTTAATTGATGACAGCCCTCTTCATCTGCCACCTTCAGGCATTTGCTGTAAGTTGTTGATACAGAGTTCACACCCTCTATCCGTCAGATCTTTGACTGCATCTGTGTTATTAACCTTTGGGTTGATCTGAGAGTGGCATCGCCCCAACTAACTGGCTGTCATGTCAGCTTGGCAGCTGGGCTTCACGTGTTCTCTTTCACTTTCACTTTGTCTCCCGAGATCATCTGAACAGATAGGGACAAAGCGATGTGACCAATTACCTTGTAATTTCTATGTTGTCCAACTTTTCTCCTGAGATAGTGCCGGGAGGAAATAAAATTCTAAAAGATATGAGTACTTGATGTACTAGAAATATAATAGTCAAATTCTTTGAGCCGTAGAGACCAAGGTTCTCATTTCTCCTTCAACTCTATGTGACTTTTTGCAAGATACTTTACTTTTTTGGGCTTCATTGGTAAAATAAGGAAAATTACTTTGAGGCAGAGAGAGTAAATTTTCCTCCAGAATTTATTCTTCCTGTATTTCTTTTATAGGTAGGCCCTACTTGTCAGGAGCAGATCTATCTTTTGAAAAGGTTAAGAAAAAAGGATATGAAATAAATAAATGAATAATTTTCTAGCTCTCCCTCACCCAGGGTCTTGGAAGGAGGCTGTGTAAGTGAGGCGTTTTACCACCTTAACTTCACAGTAAATCTCAGTAGAACTACTTCGACCAACTTCACCACATATACACATATTTTAGTAGGGGTCCTGCACTCCCACCTAGAAACTACATTTCTTAGCCTGCCTTGTTATAAAGTATCATCATCTGACCCAGTTCTGGATAACAGGAGAACACAAATGATATATGCAACTTTTAGACTATATCCTTAAAACCCCTAGTTTGTCCTCCATTTCCTTTTTTCCTTTTTCCACTGGCTGGGAAATGGCAATAGCTGGACTTGGGAAATGGTACCATCTTGGACTCAGAGATGGAAGCTCTATACTGAGTCTGGCAGAGCCCTCTTGGGATAACTCATTCTGGATCATGCTATATATATAAGTGTTCCTTAAAAAGGAAATAAACCTGTATTCTTTTTTAAGTAAATGTATGTTTGGGTCTCTTTACTAAAGTAGCCTAGTCTATATCCTAACAAATATAAATACCTACATTCTGGTGTTTTTATGAGAGTTAAATCATATAGTGCATGTAAAATGCTTGCATGTGGTACTCTGCAAATACTAGGTCTCTTGCAGGCTAAAATTTTAAATTATCTAGTTTTTTGGGGCAAAGAAGTAATCCTAAAATCAAGAGAGAAGTTAAACCTTAGTATTAATAGTTTAAAAATATATCATTATTTCTTTATCTTTAAATAGATGTTCACTGCCCAGTATCATCTCATTTATCTTCATATTTATTATCCTTTATGGATATTTGGATGAGTTTATCATGTATTTAAAGTTTATAGGACATATGGTAGGTATTCAACACAGATTGATATACCCTATTTCTCTCCTTTTATCACATTCTACATTAGATATAAAATATAGTGGCTTTCCAGCTCACAAATATTCACCCATTGGCCTTCCCATTCTTCTGAGGAGCTGCACCTTCCCACCACATTCTAGCCATGTGGTCTGAAGGGAACTGTGGGGATTGCCTCTTTATTCACAGTCCTTTTTGGGCTTATGAATATTTCCCTGGGATTTCTAAAATATTCATGAGAGAGAGGCAACCTTTTCCCTCTGGTTGCAATGTTTTGGAAATGTGAAAATTGAAGGTTTCTGCAGCTCTGCTGTCACACAGGAAGAGTTTTGATAATATTTATTTCTTCTTCTAAATGTGCACAACAAATTTCATCCTAGCTTTTCTTGTGATTCACGTCCATGAAACAAAATAATTCTCCTCAATTAAGGTGAACTAAGGTGGATTTCTTTCACTTGCTGTGAAAATAATACTTGAATAAGGAGTCTCTTGGCTACAAAGCCATATGTCTCCCATGTGCTCTTGTTGGAACAAAGAAAATCAATAGGTCTGAATTCCCTGCCAGATCAAATGGCACGTGCTTTTCCCTATACTAAGATAGCTCCTCTCTAGGACACATTCCTGCTCTCAAAAGGTTTACCTTTGTGTTGAGGAAGAAATGATATGAACAAATAAATAGTTAAATAACAATACAAGGTTTAAGTAACTGAGAAAAGCAATAATAAAAAAAAGATATGCCAAGACAGTGCAGTGGTATCTCAAATAATTTCCTGTGGAACTTGAGGTTTGGGCAATAAGAAAAGCAAGCATATCATAAACCATTAGAGGAGTTATTTAAATCCCTATGAGATAGTATCTGCAGATATGCTTTCCCTTTCTCTGCAGCTTGAATATGGTAAACAGAACCAGGCCTTCCTAGCTAAATCATAAAATCTGCAAAGATATGAATCCTGCAAAGGCTATTCTCTCCTTCTCATCCCACCCAGCCACCTCCCCACCCTGAATATCCTACCTTCCATAGCTCTCCATTATCACTACTCCAAGATGTGGCTGTGCAGTTCTAGACACTAGACAGTATGGTTGTTTGGGAGAAATAACTCTTTGTATACCTGCTGAAAGCCTTTCGACAAGTTCTGAACTCTGTTTCCTATATGTCAACTGCTCACAGAGTTTCCCTCATGGGTCACATCTGTAACAGCCATTTCTTTTAGTCTGTCATAAGTGAAGTGGTCATCCAAAACCATGGCATTATCACTTGTTTGATTGAGAATGTTAATTACCAGGAACACCTGTTCATTTCCTAACCCTGGGGATTAAGCCATCTTGACTATTAACAATGGTTTGAACAAGCCAGAATTTGCCACTTCATTTGGTAGGTACTGTGTAAACTACTTGTCATACAGTCTGGGCCCACGTGGCCTGGTTAGAGACACAGAGTTATACGTTGGCTAAAAAAGCAGAGACCCTGGAGCAGGACTGTGTATTCAGACTGACATGGGTTTAAACTTAGATCTACCATTTTCTGGCTGTATTACCCTGGTCAAGTTACTTAAACTTTCTCTAAATCTCCTCAGTTTCACCAATTGTAAGGCTAAGACTAGAAAACACACCTTGTAGAGTTGTGAAACTAAAAGTGGTAACATTCATAAAATGTTTACCAGGTTGCGTAGTGAGCACTCAATAAATGGTAACCATTAGCTATGATTGAGATGACATCAAACATGAATAAACAACAAGTGGATGTACAAGTAAGATTCCATGCTACTTTTCATACTGATGAATAATTGAAAAGCAAAAGATATATTGGAGTATATGAGGAAGCCATTTGGCTTAAAATTAACTCAGCCTGACCTTGTTTTTCCAGAAAGACCTGACATGACCTGTTGAGCATGCATTGTACCTCTGCTTTAAACATTTACAATGTCCCAAAGCCAAGAATGATGACCTTAAAGATGGGGATGTTGCCCCCCGCCCATATCAACATTTCTTTAAGGAAAAACATTCCTTCCCAGAAACTAAGGATTAGTTACTGACCCACTGTTCTCATCTCATGACCACTGACCTGCTGACCACTGACCTGCTGTGCTAGCAAAGCATCTCATGACTCTAGTAAAAGAGATACTCCTATCAATTGTGATGTATGTTCCTTGTTCCAAGATGGTGTATAACCACTCTGTACACCCTGCTTCTTCAGAACACTTCCTTCCTTGGGAAGTTTGCTCACTGATTATAGTCCTCAAAAATGGCTCATATAATAAGCGCACCTGAATTTTTATTTATAGATTGACTACAGATTATTTGCACTGACAATACTGTAAAACACTATTCAGCAAATTAAAGTAACCATTTTGGGGGCTTAGTCTGAGTGTAGTGCTCCTCTAGAGAAAAAATATAGACAAGATTCATCCTTGGATAATTTTAAACTAAAGTCATTCTAAAATCTAATCCAATAAACAGTTATTGGGTATCGTCATTGTGCCAGGAAATATGCAAGTATCAGGAATACAAAATTAAATATAGTTTAGTGAGATAAGCATACTAATTGAGTCTGTACATATGATAGCCTGAATGCTAAAGTAAAACATATTGTATAGTTATTCAGACAAGAAAAAAAGAGACAAATGTGTGTTATTTCCTTGCCTGTGTAGCTGTGTGATTTATTTCATTTCTACTTTCATGTTTTATTAGCTGCAATTTTCCAATGTATAATTGAATTTCTACAATAGGAAAGGAGAAACATTTTAATTACCATCAAGATCTAATATATGTATTTTTCACTGCAACAATCATACTCTTGCTGTTAAACTATTAAGAAAAATAATGTGTAGAATTTGTTCAGTTTGATCATTGTTTATCTACCTAAAATAAAAATTGGAAGAAATTTACTTGTGTATAGATAATTTTACCTTCTCAGTTGTCTAAAAATATCTACATAGACTGCTGGTTATGGGACTTCCTTTCCTGACTAATCCTCTCATCCTAAAAATTTATATATTTCTCCAACCTTTCCATAGTCTCTTTTCTGCCTTCTATACAGTTACTCTCTTGATGAGTCCAACAATTCAAATATCAGGACATAACATTTTGTGACAAAGAGAAAGATACTTAATTTTATATAAATGTTTTGATTCTTGATATTTAATATGTAAGGCAAATACCAATTTAAAATAAGAGGCTTAATTCTCTCTGTGAAAAATAAGGGAGGAGATGTCCTACCCTCCTTTTTCTTACATATTTACTTTAGAAAACTTGTAATTTTAAATTCTTTCTCTGTCTCTTTGAAATGTATGCAAATCTTTTTAAAGGCTAGATAAGCCTCTTGTCAGTCTTACAATCCAGGAATATCTTTCTCTAGGATCTGAGAACCATCTCTTTGAAATGTAATCATCAAGGAAGATAGTGCCCCCATCTCCCAGTTTCTGTGGGCAGGTAAGAGCCCAACCTTGGACATGTTGCAAAACTACCTCATTATAAAGGTAAGAATTTGATTTGCTTATGGGTGAATCCAGCTAACACAATGGGTCATCTCAATTATCAGGTGAATTTAGAATGAACTATGTGTGACAAATGATGCTGTCAAGTCCTCTTTCTTGAGCAATAGTTAATGTTTACCTCAACAACATATATAGAATGGATTGTATCTGCCTGGCCATATAAAAGGATGAGATTTCTTTCTGCCTCTGCAGTCTCTTAGTGGATTGCCTATAATGCTTATCATGTTCTGGAGAGGTTTTTCTGGGTTGGCAGAAGATTTTGTTTTTAATATATCTCCCCAATAAAGGTGAACACAGATATCACTCATTCATTCATTAAGTCATTCATATCTTGAAAATATTATTTGAACATTACTCAAAAACTATTTAAAAATAAACAAAAATCTTAATACATGTGCATATGTATTAGGTTGAATCATTTGATACTGTTGTTTTGTAAGTGAAAAACAGAATATCAGCAATTACATGTATCATAACCTAAATTATGTGAGTATAGACAAATGTGTGGAAGAATCTACATTAAACTGTTAACATCAACTAATTGTTGGGAGAGAGCCACAGCATGGCTTGATGAGCAGTGCTAGGTCTGAGCCTAGGATCTGAACCAGGGAACCCCAGGCTGCTGAAGTGGAGAAGGTGAATTTAACCACTGGGCCATGGGGCCAGCCCCTACATTTTCTTTTATATATCTATCCTCATATTTTTTAACTTGTTGCAATAAGTTTGTATTACTGTTTTTCTTATTTTACAGAGAATAAATTGATTAGAAAAAAGATACTAATTGTATTTGCAACATGAGCATCATTAATCAAGGCAGGACAATTTCCTTTTTACTTATTTATAGATCAATCGATCAATCGATAGATCAACAGATAGATCCAGCTCCTAACATAGTGCTACGTAAAAATATGTTAAAGGAAAAGATGAAAAAAAGTGCATGAATGAATGAATGACCATAACCAGAGAAGGTTTTTGAAGAATAGTGAAAATTTAAAGAAGCTCAACTGGAATGAGTTGATAGGTATTTGGGGATTAAAAAAAAAAAAAATAGAGGCGGTATAAATATCTTTTTTAAACAGTTTGGTCAACAATAAGCTAGGTAAGGTGGATGTTAACATTGGTTAAAAGGGATCCTTTTGTAGTTGTGCATTCCTGGAGCACATTTACATGTTTACTAATATTGTTGTTGGCAAAGAGGCTGGAGATAGAGAAAGAGACAGGATAACTACAAGATGGAGATCACTGAGAAAGCAGGAGGAGGTGCTGGTCTTGAATTGGTTCATACAGAATTCCTCTATTAAAACAAAAAAGAAGGAAAGGCTGCAGATGCAGGTCTATTTGTCAATCTGTTGTAAGACTGGGAGCATCTTGGCTGATGATGACTTTGTCTCTGTGAGGCATGGAGATGAGATACAATGCATGTGCCTTTAATGCTGCAATGGCTTTTGCTGAGCCTAATATCTGCATAAGGAGAGGTGATACCTTACATGCTTTCAAAGTTACAACTTTTTGTTGTCATTTGCATGCCCAGCTACTAATTCTGAAGGGTGGTCATTATGCCAGGCTGCCTAGGACAGATGGAATTTCATCCTTAGTTATACATTGTCAAATAGATTCTCCCCATACGGCAAACCTGGAGTTGATCACACCCAGCCTGTTCTCTCCTTTTCCTCTTGGTGAGTTCCTATTTGGGGTCCTCGGTTCCTTTCTTCAGTCAGGACCACTGAAGGGCTTTAAAAAGAAGGAGATGCATTCTGGATCCCTTTTCTTCCAAAAGCTCTGTATCAGTTGGGGTTGAGTTAGGAAACCAGAAATAACTCCAGGTGTTTCAAAGAACAAACGGCTTAATAGAGGGATTAGAAAACCATTAGAAGGCCTGGGAAAGAAACGATTAGGGAGGCCACTCTACCATTTAGGAAATCAGGAAATGCTCAGATTACAGGAAACGACTGCCATTGATTTCACTGCCCACTGCCCAAAGGCAGGCGATTCTTTGGAAGACATCAGTAAGCTGTTGGAAAAATCTTGATGTGGAAGCCTCGGTAATTGCCAGCCACAGCCACAAGAATAATAATTGCTTTTCCTTTTCCTATGCTTTCCAAAATTATACTAGTTCCTCTCATTGGCGGAATCTAACTTAGGACATACTGGCAGGAATTTTTGAAAATGCAGGTCCCAGTCTTCTAGCTCCTAGGATAAAAGGAGAACATAGAAGGGGATAGTAGGGCAGAGTGGCCAACACAATTCCACACAACCCAGCATATTCTCAGTCAAATTACATGTGTTCTTTCCCAGAGAAAAGTCCTCACTTGACCTACAGTAGGAGATGCTGAATATGTGTTCTCTGAGTAAGACAATGCTAATTCAGGGGAGACCGCCTTAGAAACTTACCCCAGTAAGTTGAAGTTAGTCATGCCTTAAAGAGCTAGGCTGATTTTCCCCTGGCTGCCATTATCACAACTCCATTAACAGTAGCCCCCAGGGCATAGCAAATTATCATAGGAGTCATTTATAAGGTCGCCAAGCAGAAACTCAGTAATATTTCTATGCTTTTGCTGATTCCTACCAAGTCATTTGAAAGCCAAAATAGGGGGAAAGGAAGTACCACTTTCAAGGCATCACTAAACACTCACATTCATAATAAGTTACACTTCTCTATCTATGAAGGTAGGTAGGTCTGTTGCATATAATAATTTAGTAAAGATGATTTGTAAGACAGTTTGAGAGAAAAAATTTATAGATGAGATTGCTTTGAAGGTTTTAACTTAAAGCAACTTTGTAAACTAGTGTTGTTAAAGAAAGTAGAAATTTAAGAAAGTTTGAGCAGGATGCAAACACTAAAATCACAGTATCTTCACTCAGGATATTATACTGAGTAGTCCACAAGGAACCATTACAGTTAAGTTTAGTAGCAAGACTTTGGAAAAGCTGAGAATACTATAATAAAATCAATGAGTTTTATGAAACCATGATCAACCCTTTCAATTTTATGAAATGTCAAGAATTTTTTATTTCTGGATTTAAATTTGAGTGTCGTAGATATCCCTCCACTTACTTCTTCCACAAGAATATTGGCAAGCATACCGAACAACTATTTCGCTTTGTGGGAACCTCATTTTATTTCTGTATAGGGAAAAGTCCAGATTCTAAGAAGATGGTGGTCATAACAGCACCATAAGATGCTTAAACTGAGACTGATGGAAAAAGAAATGGGAGATTTAAAACATATTCTTTAGTTTTAGGAGAAACTGAAATTTAAAGGTCGTTCTTGGCAATATTTGAACTTCTGTCTTAGTAATATATAGAATTTAAGACTGCCAAAATACAACAGCTTTTAAAACATAGGAATAGCAAAATAAAAGCCTCTGAATTTTTCATTTCTTTTGTTCTCACAGTTGAAAGTTTCCTTTTTTTTTTTTTTTGGTATTCTGCAGTCTAAGAAACGTGAAAATCTGGTTTTACATAAAGCATCATTTCTAAAATTATCTAGGTAAAGAGTACCTTCTCAAAAATTGAGAATTTCTTTATTAGTTAATTGTCTTAAAATCTTCTCTCAGAAATTCTCTAATTTAAAATCAAGAGCAATTTAATCTGATATATGTGAAATGTCATATGATAATACATATATCACATATATGTATGCATTGCCCATTCTATTTAAAAATACTTAGCAGTAGTAGCTACTGTTTTAATTTACTTGCTGTAGTAAAATATTTTAATTTTGTGCAAAATGCATAAACCAAAAAGAAACACATATTATTTTTTCTCTCACGTAACCAAGACCATGAAAAGACATGCTGCTTAATCCAGAAGAATATTTCCGGTTATACCTAGTGGCAGTATATACTTTGTGCAACAAAACTGTGTAGAATTAGTTAAGTTTTGACTGATAGATTAGAAAATACAAGTTAAATTGAAATTAAGTATTAAAGTTTGATAAGATAGTGAGGCTTAAGAGTGCTTTGCCAAGTGGAATGAACACAGCACTAAGTGTTTGAGCATTTCACTATTCAACAAAGGTGAGGAGGCTGACCTGGCCAGAGGAATGGGCTGTCTCATTGGAGAGGGTAGTGATTAAACCCTCCAGATGTGTGAAGGCTTCCATACTGATCTCTTTCTTTCAAACCTTTGTAGCATTTGCTATTTGTGTCCTTCACTTAGTACTTATTTTATATTATCCTCCAATTTATATATCATTTTACATGAAATCTCTACCTGATTAAATAAACTTATAGGCCTTGAACGATATTTCATACTTCTTTGTAATTCTCAATTGTGCATGGCACCGTGCATATTATAAGCATGCGATAACCATTGCTGTTGGCACAGTTGATTATGATGATGGTGGTGGTGATTATGTTGGAGAGGTAGACTAGAACTTGATTGGGGAATTGCTTGGACACCAATCTAATAAATAGATATGATTTTTTTTTAATCAAAGGGCAGAAAAGAGTTATGGAAGATTTAAGTGATGAAGTCAAAATTTCAAGGAAGAATCCATATTTGCATGTATAATGAAATCAAGTGCAATGGGGAAAAGATAATCTATCACAGGAAATCCGGTTTAAAAATGTACAGAGTAGTTGTCTGCAGAAGAAGAAAACTAGTAATTCAGGTTTGTTAGTAAATCAGAAATGAATTAATAAGAACTTGAACCTCAATGACGTTCATGACAGTGAAAATAAAGCAGTGCATAGTGTTAATTGTGACTCCTGACTTGAAATCAGAGTGTTCATAGGATCAGGATTCCCAAATCCATAACATATCAGGGCTATTGTTATATTTGCTATATTGCAAAGAATATAGAATATGTATAGATGCCTGCCTCCTAACCACTAATGACTATCCTACCTCCAAATGCAGTGCAATGAGTCAGAACATACGTGGTCTGCAAATACATAATTTTTTGTCTCTTCAGCTTAATATCTAAGCTAAAGAGTGAGATGGACTGAACAAACTGCTCTAGAACACATGCTAGACCT